TGTGCTACACCTTGATGAGCACGGTGTATCATCACGGTGTATCATCACGGTGTATCATCACAGTGTATCATCACGGTGTATCATCACGGTGTATCATCACGGTGTATCATCACGGTGTATCATCACGGTGTATCATCACGGTGTATCATCACGGTGTATCATCACGGTGTATCATCACGGTGTATCATCACGGTGTATCATCACGGTGTATCATCACGGTGTATCATCACGGTGTATCATCACGGTGTATCATCACGGTGTATCATCACAGTGTATCATCACAGTGTATCATCACGGTGTATCATCACGGTGTATCATCACGGTGTATCATCACGGTGTATCATCACAGTGTATCATCAGAGTGTATCATCAGAGTGTATCATCAGAGTGTATCATCAGAGTGTATCATCAGAGTGTATCATCAGAGTGTATCATCAGAGTGTATCATCAGAGTGTATCATCAGATACATCTGTCCCTACCTGTGTTGCATCTGTCCCTGTGTTGCATCTGTCCCTACCTGTGTTGCATCTGTCCCTACCTGTGTTGCATCTGTCCCTACCTGTGTTGCATCTGTCCCTACCTGTGTTGCATCTGTTGTATTCCCTCATGAAGCACGGGTTGTTGTAGTGTTGTATTCCCTCATGAACCACGGGTTGTTGTAGTGTTGTATTCCCTCATGAAGCACGGGTTGTTGTAGTGTTGTATTCCCTCATGAAGCACGGGTTGTTGTAGTGTTGTATTCCCTCATGAAGCACGGGTTGTTGTAGTGTTGTATTCCCTCATGAAGCACGGGTTGTTGTAGTGTTGTATTCCCTCATGAACCACGGGTTGTTGTAGTGTTGTATTCCCTCATGAAGCACGGGTTGTTGTAGTGTTGTATTCCCTCATGAACCACGGGTTGTTGTAGTGTTGTATTCCCTCATGAAGCACGGGTTGTTGTAGTGTTGTATTCCCTCATGAAGCACGGGTTGTTGTAGTGTTGTATTCCCTCAGTATTGTGAGTGTTGGATAACCAACAGTGTTGTGTATCGTTGAAGGACACACCAAATGTGTATATATGCTGGTTAGCACTGTAAGTGACTGGCCACGTCTGTGGTGGGAAGTAAAGTAGTCAATCAATCAATGGGTGAGCCATCAATCATGGCGCCACGCGGGCCGCCACCACCACCTTCCCTGTCTGCCACTTCTCCTCTCTTATACACTTTATTTATTGTATTATTTTCCTTGCTGTTATTATTGATTTTATTATTATCAATGTTATGCTCCTGTGACACATCTAAGCTGTTTTGTCATATACAACTATCAACAATTTTCTACTGAACAATAATTTCGACAAATTGAGCAGTTCAATAAAGCATCGAGGGTTTAGGGAAGGATTAATGTAACTTTTATATGATCTGGATTCGTCATAGTGGCTCTGTACACCTGCACCTTCTTGGACACGTGACTGTGAAGAGTTATACATGATGAACATAACTATGGCGGTGTAGAAAATATGGACGTCGATCATTTTATAAGACATCAGTAGTGAGAGGCTCAACACGGCTGTTATGGCTGGCAACGGGCATGCCCCTCTCCTTCCCTCAAGACAGCATATATATCTTGGAGACATACACCATGCAGACATACACCATGGAGACATACACCATGGAGACATATACCTTGGAAACATACACCATGGAGACATATACCTTGGAAACATACACCATGGAGACATATACCTTGGAAACATACACCATGGAGACATATACCTTGGAAACATACACCATGGAGACATATACCTTGGAAACATACACCATGGAGACATATACCTTGGAAACATACACCATGGAGACATATACCTTGGAAACATACACCATGGAGACATATACCTTGGAAACATACACCATGGAGACATATACCTTGGAGACCTCTGAATGTTTAAAAGACAAAGGCAGTGTAATAATACACTGTTGCTCGCTGGGTGAGCAACAGTATATTATTCCACTGACTTTGTTTCTTAACAATTCAGACAATATTCCCTCCAAGTGGTTGGGCACCATTCCCCCCCCCCTTCCCACCATCCCATCCCAAATCGTTATCCTGACCCCTTCCCAGTGGTATATAGTCGTAATGGCTTGGTGCTTTCCCCTGACAGTTCCCCTTCCTGGCAGTGTACGAACCTAGTAGTAACGCCTAGAACACAAACACCGTATTGTCTATGGCTGCTAAAGGAAATAAGTTTGAGATTAAATTCCTTTGGAGACCAGTGCATGATGGCATCTCCGAGCATGATAGTGTTGACATGCTTGCAAAGACAGCCTGTAGTAGAGCATTGGTAGACCAGTGGTGGACCAGTGGTGGACCAGTGGTAGACAAGTGGTAGACCAGTAGTAGACCAGTGGTAGACCAGTAGTAGACCAGTAGTAGACCAGTAGTAGACCAGTAGTAGACAGTAACATTGGTGCTTTATTCAGTACAAGAGACTACTAAAACGAATGTCCTATGAATATTTTACCGACCTAATAAATTCACAAAGACCCATAAAACTGTAACATTAAACATTATGGTGAACACCTGTAGGAAACGTCAATATACGGGAGCATAAGGCCTGAGGGTGACAATATTCCAGTGACGGAGGCCACGGTTCGTCGAGCAGTTACGCAAGTACTTGCTTAACTGTACATCTTTTCCTAATGTTTAGCGGCTTTATTTACATTTATTAAACAGTTTACGAGCACGGAAACATCTCAGCTAAATGTCATTAGTGTTATAAACAGCCTCCTGGTGCTCGGGGCCCATAAACTGTTTAATAAATGTAAACAAAGCCGCTAAAGATTGATTGAAGATGTACAGAGTACTTACATAGCTGCCTGGTGAGTCATTACCCTGGAAACACAAACCGAAACTGTCTATTTTCCGCTTGTTACAACTTGTAATAAAGTTGTTACTTCTTGGCTTAACGTGTTTATGACGTATTAGAACGTTGGTACAACTGGCTATATTGGTTGTTATAACTGGTTAGGAGGTGTTAAAACTTGTTCGAACGTTGTACCAACGTCGTAGTTTCGGTGTGTGTTTGGTGGGTATTAACATCTTTATGGACAAAATTAATTACAATTTTGCCTAATTTGAGGATTTCAATTAAGTCTTATTAGAGTGATGGTAATGTTAGTATTGACTGTCACACAGGACAGAGGGTCATACTATGTGTCAACTGTGTGAGAGAACAGTAGCATGTGTCAACTGTGTGAGAGAGTACAGTACCAAGTGTCAACTGTGAGAGAGAGAACAGTAGCATGTGTCAACTGTGAGAGAGAGAACAGTAGCATGTGTCAACTGTGAGAGAGAGAACAGTACCAAGTGTCAACTGTGTGAGAGAGTGTCAACTGTGTGAGAGAGAGAACAGTACCAAGTGTCAACTGTGTGAGAGAACACAGTACCAAGTGTCAACTGTGTGAGAGAGAACAGTACCAAGTGTCAACTGTGTGAGAGAGAACAGTAGCATGTGTCAACTGTGAGAGAGAGAACAGTACCAAGTGTCAACTGTGAGAGAGAGAACAGTAGCATGTGTCAACTGTGAGAGAGAGAACAGTACCAAGTGTCAACTGTGTGAGAGAGAACAGTACCAAGTGTCAACTGTGTGAGAGAACACAGCACCACGTGTCAACTGTGTGAGAGAACACAGCACCACGTGTCAACTGTGTGAGAGAACACAGCACCACGTGTCAACTGTGTGAGAGAACACAGCACCACGTGTCAACTGTGTGAGAGAACACAGCACCAAGTGTCAACTGTGTGAGAGAACACAGCACCAAGTGTCAACTGTGTGAGAGAACACAGCACCAAGTGTCAACTGTGTGAGAGAACACAGCACCAAGTGTCAACTGTGTGAGAGAACACAGCACCACGTGTCAACTGTGTGAGAGAACACAGCACCACGTGTCAACTGTGTGAGAGAACACAGTACCAAGTGTCAACTGTGTGAGAGAACACTATTATCTCCAACAATATAGTGTACAGTGTCCCATATTGTCTCACTACTGGTCGCTGGCTTCATATATACTAAACTCTACAACAATTATCACAACACTGTAACACTTAACTGAACCTCTACCCAAGATTTACTACGTAATGAAACAAATATTTGCCCGAATTTACCTGAATGCCACTAACACTCTAGTGGCCTGGATGAGGACAGGATGCCGGTGGCTTGTCAAAGGTCCTCCCCCCCCATAAATACTGGTTCCTCGCATATTACATACAATATGTGATATAATCATAGCTTGAATATGTAAAGCAGAGTAATGAGTGTATGGTAGAGTGATCAGTAACTACAGTAACTCTCTGGCCCCGTTAACGGTGTAGGTGACGGTTTATATATGCAGGTTACAATTAAATAGAACATTCTCTGTTACTAGCTGACATGTAACTATAAGGTGTGAAGGATAGATGAAATTGTTTATGTAATAATTTAAGATGAGGTCTGATAAAGACCTTTTGTGCCCTCTAATGCTTTTTGCGCTACCGCTCACAGGATGAGTATGGGGTGCACAATAAAGTCAATCGAAATCAAAGGATACAATTGTAATTTGCCACTGTAGGTTCCCCACAATAACCCACTACACTATATGCAGAAGAACACATCTCTAACACTGTCTATATAGGCTAGAGGAACATATATGTATACTGGCTATAGCAATATAAAAGCACTTGAGTTTGCTTGTGTAGTAGAATGCTATGTACCGTAGCTCTGACCCGGTCTCTGTACACCATATACAAAGGTATATATGGTGTATAGCATTATATGAACGTATGGGCTCCTCTGTGGTATACAATAATCCACGTCAGAGTGTAAATATGTGTTTACTGTGCTGGCTCATAAAGCACCGGTGACTATGGCTCATGGGACCATGGGGTCTACCATAGAAGATGAATACAACTCTTGTTGTTATTGTTAATAAGGAGATATGGCCGTAGGTGGAGATGGGGAGAGTTTAGAGAGAGTCACTTTACTCACGTGAAGTGACGGGTGTCGGGGACGGCGCGGTTGGACGCCAACTTGTCGCTCTCCGCTTGGTTGAACTTGTTCCTGGTGTAGGCGTCGGCGCCGGGTGCCAGGGTGGCGGCGGCGATGTAGCCCTCCTCGTCCAGGAAGAGGGAGGGCACGACGGCCAGACTGCCCCCGCCGCCCCCGCCGCCCGACGCCCCGCCCACACTGACCGCCGCCGCTGCCGCTGCCGCCGCCCGCGACGACGCCGACCCCTGCTGTGACGTCACCGCCGAGTCCTTCAGTCTCAGAGCAAGGTTCTCGGACCCCTGTCGAATATATATACATTTTAATATTACTATTATTATATATACATTTTAATATTACTATTATTATATATACATTTAAATATTACTATTATTAATATATAATATTAAAAAACAATATTATTTGATACCAATATTATTTGATATAATACCCGAAACGCTGCGCGTACTAGTTAGTGGCTTTACAAGATTGTAAATACTATGCTATGTATTCTCTCTAACCCAATGTACCTTCTTGTATATAAATAAATAAATAAATAAATAAATAAAAATAAATAAATATAAATATTATTTAATATAAATATTGTTTAATACAATATTATTTAATAAGGACATGAGAGAGAGAGAGAGAGAGAGAGAGAGAGAGTATACACAATAAAGAACTAGAGAAACATACACAAATCGCACACTTGTAGGGACTAAGAATAGCGCAGCTCATATATTCTCTTTGTCATGTTACTGGCCACGGTCTTTATTCCCGCCGGAATAACTAGGGCGGCGGGCCCCGGCACTAACCTGGGCCCCGGCACTAACCTGGGCCCCGGCACTAACCTGTCTCACCTCACCTGGGCCCCGGCACTAACCTGGGACCCGGCACTAACCTCACCTGGGCCCCGGCACTAACCTCACCTGGGCCCCGGCACTAACCTCACCTGGGCCCCGGCACTAACCTGGGCCCCGGCACTAACCTCACCTGGGCCCCGGCACTAACCTCACCTGGGCCCCACTCACCACTCTCACATTTGCCTCAACTTTACCCGCCATTAACTTCAAGATGGCGGCCAAGTGACAGAGTGCTCCCTTGAGTGCTGGAACCTCTTAGTTCACTTGGGATGTGGCAGCGTACACGCACCTTCACACAGTGCACCTTGCAACATTGATCTGCAACTTTGCCTCATTGATTAACAATATGCCTTTCAAGTTTTTGTTGAATTCCCGATTTCCAGAATTACCTTCGAGGCGATGGCACATGGGAGGTCACTACTCCTAGCTGAAGAACTGGAGTGTTGGGAAGACTGCAGCCCAGCATCCTAAACCGAGTGTACCTATAGTAACTATGTTGGCGACAGTACACATATGTGGTGATGGACCACCAGTAAGTGTAAACATGTGATGATGGACCACCAGAAAGTGTACACACATGTGGTGATGGACCACCAGAAAGTGTAAACATGTGGTGATGGACCACCAGTAAGTGTACACATGTGGTGATGGACCACCAGTAAGTGTACACATATGTGGTGATGGACCACCAGTAAGTGTATACATATGTGGTGATGGACCACCAGTAAGTGTATACATATATGGTGATGGACCACCAGTAAGTGTACACATATGTGGTGATGGACCACCAGAAAGTGTACACATATGTGGTGATGGACCACCAGAAGGTGTACACATGTGGTGATGGACCACCAGTAAGTGTACACATATGTGGTGATGGACCGACCCAAGTGTCGTCGTATAATAGTGTCAAGACGACACCTGGACCGATGGTACAATCCTGAACTAAGAGCAGAAACTACAACACCTCCAATAAAATTATATTATAAATCCACCATGCACAGTGAACATAACAAATGAAGAACGAATAATGAAAGAAATAATCCGTAAAGGAGTAAAAAGCATAAGACTGCCGATCTCCTTATCAAAAACAGCCGGAAGCCGACGGAGAACCCTCTACAGCAGTCAAGCGTTGTATACATGTACACTTGCCCCCACGAAGGATGTAACCTTCAATCTAAGTACATAGGTATGACGTCGACCAAGCTGACGAGGCGTTTGACCTGTCATCTTCAATCCGGTGCCCCCAGAAATCCCATGAGACAAGCCCATAACATCACTCTAACAAGAGAAATGTTGAATAAACACACTTGCATAATAGACTAAACCCAAGATGTAAGAAGATTACAAATTCTTGAAGCAATCCACATAAAATTAGAACAATCTGCCATAAATACTCAAATTATGGAACTATTCACTCTACCCACCATGAGAGTAAGAACAAGACCGGAACATGAAGATGCCAACACAGAAGACACTGCTCCACATACTAGGTCTACTTCACCTGATTAATCTTCGTATGTGCTTCGTACCCTATTTTCGTTTTATTCTTCACACTTTACGCCTTACTCTTCTCTCCTTTACGCCTTATTCCTTATCCATTTGTATAGATCTATAAACCCGATTGTTCGATACATTTGTCTACACCTGACCCACTAATGGTATAAATCCAATATGCCTTGTACTGTCCCATCACTTGAGAATGACCCATGTAGGTTCGAACGTTGTGTAATTTTATAATAAGTGTAATTCATTGTATAGTTGTTTATTTCCTTTTATTCATCCCGAACGAAGATAACTTTTGGAGAACTCCTCTTCCAATTAAACCAAGATGCAAGAGCACTAGTCAGAGGGATAGAAGCACTAAACAAGAAAATAATCAATACAAATTTAGACTATGCAGACATATTATTGGTGTATACTGCCAGTATACACCAATACAGTATATACAGTATCTTATTGGTGTATACTGCCAGTATACACCAATATATATATATATATATATATATATATATATATATATATATATATATATATATATATATATATATATATATATTATTAAATATGACCGAAAAAGTAAGATTAATAATTCTAACACGAATTTTCTCAATCTTTCGTACATTATGCTTCACTGTTGGAGGTAAATCAAAAATCACTTCTCCAAAATTCATTTTTATTTCTAGTCTGACGCGACACGGGCGCGTTTCGTAAAACTTATTACATTTTCAAAGACTTCACAAATACACAACTGATTAGAACTTGCGTTTCCCTGATTTTATATCTACATTTGAGTGAGGTGGGAAGGGTGATGTGGCATTACATTTGAGTGAGGTGGGAAGGATGATGTGGCATTAACACAAGACAGAACACTAGAGGATATTAATAGGGTATTAAAAGTATCAACACAAGACAGAACAGAAACAATGGGTATTGAATAGAAGTGTTTGTAGAAAGCCTATTGGTCCATATTTCTTGATGCTTCTATATTGGAGCGGAGTCTTGAGGTGGGTAGAATATAGTTGTGCAATAATTGGCTGTTGATTGCTGGTGTTGACTTCTTGATGTGTAGTGCCTCGCAAACGTCAAGCCGCCTGCTATCGCTGTATCTATCGATGATTTCTGTGTTGTTTACTAGGATTTCTCTGGCGATGGTTTGGTTATGGGAAGAGATTATATGTTCCTTAATGGAGCCCTGTTGTTTATGCATCGTTAAACGCCTAGAAAGAGATGTTGTTGTCTTGCCTATATACTGGGTTTTTTGGAGCTTACAGTCCCCAAGTGGGCATTTGAAGGCATAGACGACGTTAGTCTCTTTTAAAGCGTTCTGTTTCGTGTCTGGAGAGTTTCTCATGAGTAGGCTGGCCGTTTTTCTGGTTTTATAGTAAATCGTCAGTTGTATCCTCTGATTTTTGTCTGTAGGGATAACGTTTCTATTAACAATATCTTTCAGGACCCTTTCCTCTGTTTTATGAGCTGTGGAAAAGAAGTTCCTGTAAAATAGTCTAATAGGGGGTATAGGTGTTGTGTTAGTTGTCTCTTCGGAGGTTGCATGGCTTTTCACTTTCCTTCTTATGATGTCTTCGATGAAACCATTGGAGAAGCCGTTATTGACTAGAACCTGCCTTACCCTACAGAGTTCTTCGTCGACTTGCTTCCATTCTGAGCTGTGGCTGAGAGCACGGTCGACGTATGCGTTAACAACACTCCTCTTGTACCTGTCAGGGCAGTCGCTGTTGGCATTTAGGCACATTCCTATGTTTGTTTCCTTTGTGTAGACTGCAGTGTGGAAACCTCCGCCCTTTTCCATGACTGTTACATCTAGAAAAGGCAGCTTCCCATCCTTTTCCGTCTCGTAAGTGAAACGCAGCACGGAACTCTGCTCAAATGCCTCCTTCAGCTCCTGCAGATGTCTGACATCAGGTACCTGTGTAAAAATGTCGTCAACATACCTGCAGTATATGGCCGGTTTCAAGTTCATGTCGACTAAGACTTTTTGCTCGATGGTACCCATGTAGAAGTTTGCAAACAGGACACCTAGGGGAGAACCCATGGCGACCCCATCTACTTGCTTATACATGTGCCCATCCGGGCTCAAGAAGGGTGCCTCTTTAGTACAAGCTTGGAGTAGTTTCCTCAGAATACTTTCTGGCATGTCAAGAGGAGTACAGGCTGGATCACGATACACTCTGTCGGCTATCATTCCGATTGTCTCGTCCACAGGTACGTTGGTAAACAGCGATTCTACGTCCAACGAGGCTCTTATCCCTGTGGCCCGTGCGCCCCGCAGTAAGTCCACAAATTCCTTTGGAGACTTCAGGCTGAAGGCGCAAGGAACATAAGGAGTCAGCTGCCTTTTCTAGATGTAACAGTCATGGAAAAGGGCGGAGGTTTCCACACTACAGTCTACACAAAGGAAACAAACATAGGAATGTGCCTAAATGCCAACAGCGACTGCCCTGACAGGTACAAGAGGAGTGTTGTTAACGCATACGTCGACCGTGCTCTCAGCCACAGCTCAGAATGGAAGCAAGTCGACGAAGAACTCTGTAGGGTAAGGCAGGTTCTAGTCAATAACGGCTTCTCCAATGGTTTCATCGAAGACATCATAAGAAGGAAAGTGAAAAGCCATGCAACCTCCGAAGAGACAACTAACACAACACCTATACCCCCTATTAGACTATTTTACAGGAACTTCTTTTCCACAGCTCATAAAACAGAGGAAAGGGTCCTGAAAGATATTGTTAATAGAAACGTTATCCCTACAGACAAAAATCAGAGGATACAACTGACGATTTACTATAAAACCAGAAAAACGGCCAGCCTACTCATGAGAAACTCTCCAGACACGAAACAGAACGCTTTAAAAGAGACTAACGTCGTCTATGCCTTCAAATGCCCACTTGGGGACTGTAAGCTCCAAAAAACCCAGTATATAG